TGATGCTGAGCTGAAAACTCCAATCCTTGACCTTTCCTCCCTTAGTGCCTTGCATATTCAATTGCAATGCACAACCTGTTCCATTTTGTTAACTGGTACATACAGTCCCTTCACCTATTCTTGTGCATTGTCTATCCATTCTTTTCCTGATCTCCCCCTACAGGCTGTAACCATCCTATTTTTGTAACTGTGGTTTTATGTAGTAATTTCACTCAGTATAATGTCTTCCAGGCTCACCCACGATGAACTTTTCCAAGTTCACTGTTTTTCAATGCTGTATTATATTCCATTGTATTAATATATCAGTCTCTCCATTTATTTGTTAGTGAGCACTTGAGGGTGCTTGATCTCTTTGACTGTGAATAATGCTGCAATAAATATGGGTTTTTGAAAAAGGTACCTGCAGTGACTGAGTCACTGGCAGTACAAAATTCTATCATATAATCTCAGATCTCACTTCTGTCACCAAGGCTGACAATCTCTCTTCACTTTCAACTTTTGCCTTTTAATCACCAAATTAATGCATGTTCTACCAATTTCAGATTACAGAATTTGGTAGAATTTCTCAGTTTCTTCATCTTGGCCTTTAATGGTTGGTTCATATATTTGAATAACATATGAGGCAGCCTCTTGGGCCATTTGACTTCAGTCTTGAGGCTCTAAATCAAGTGCTACATAGCTCTTTCAAGCCTGTCAATTATGAGCTCTCTTCTCCCCTCTCCCTGTAAGTTTCTGCAAAGGCCCAGAGTTCTGTGATTCTATGGGGTGGCAGTTCCAATTCAGCTCTGTCTCTGGGCCTCATTCTCTGCCATCTCTGCGGCTGTTGTTTCTGCTTCTGTGGTCTAGGTAAGTCTGCCTTAGGCAAGAATCTCATTAAAAGGTGACATACCTTGTATGGCAGGGTTCCACCCAAAACATGCTCCTCATCTTATTAGCAAAGTCCCACCCAGCCCTGCTGCTTACTTTGGCTAGGAAAGCCATTTTGAATAATCAACCTATTACAACATACATGTGAATATTATCATATCATTGATGGCATTATAGTACAGTATAGATCTTGAAATTTCTTTTTGTTTACAATGAATGTTTACCTTCCTCTTCAATGTGTCAATGCTAGTAAAGCAGTCTATTTAACAGTCTGATTCAAAATGGTCCAATTCAATTTGCTAATGCCTAGTAAAGAACTCTGGCCCATAGAAAGCTGTGTTGCTAACCCAAAAGTTATGTGTTTCTGAATTCAGTTCTGCAGCATTGCTGTAGGAAAAACACGTTTCCTCTCAGTGCAATTTACAGCCTTGGAAATAAAAACGAGGATTACTATGAATTGGAAGCTGAAAAGAGGATTACTATGAGCTGGAACCTCAACAACAGTTGAGTGTGGCGCTTTCTGTAACACCTAAGAATATAGAAGACACGTGTAGATGAAACCTCTACTCCATCCATGCCATTAGGTAGGCTCTACTTTGAGGAGGCAGTTTCCCCATAACTCCTCGGTGTACTTGGAGTGCCTTCGAACTTGAAGGCCTCCTCTTCTAGAACAACATTAGGCAATGCTTCACTGTTATTCATAGAGGTTTTTTTAGGGCCTGCTATTTCAGAAGTGGATGGTCAATCCTGTTTCCTAATTAGTCTGTCTTAAGTCTGGAAGTGCCACTGAAACCTGTCCACTATTGGTGACCCAGCTGATTTACCAGTGCCATGGCTTACCACAGTATGATAAACTGACAGACTGATGTCTAATACTTCAGTATTTATTCAAAATAATGTTTTGGTTATCCTGGAGCTTTCTCTGATATTGTTGTTGTTATGTGCCATTGAGTCGCTTGCGACTCATAATGACCCTATGTACAACAGCCCTAAACCTTGCTCTATCCTGTGCCAATCGCACTGCCTCTGACACCCCCATCCAGATTACCCCAGTCACTGAATCAATCCATCTCACAGAGGGTCTTCCCCTCTTGCGCCGTCCCTCCAACCTCCCAAGCATGATGTCCCTCTCCAAGGACCTGTCCCTCCTTTCAACATGCCCAAAGTATGTCAGACAAAGCCCCAGAATCCTTGCCTCCAAGGAGTAGCCTGGTTTAACCCTCTCCAGGATGAATCTGTTTGTTTTCTTGGCAGTCCAGGGTATATTCAATACTCTTCTCCAACACCACAGCTCAAAGGCATCAATTCTCCTTCTGTCCTCCCTAGTCATTGTCCAACTCTCTGATGCACAACAACTGATGACAAAAACCATGGCCTGTATCAGGCACACCTTAGTCTCCAGAGAGACACTGTTACTCTTGAGTACTTTAGAGAGGTCCCTAACAGCAGACTTTCCCATCGCAATATGTTTTTTGATTTCCTGGCTGCTGGTGCCAAGAGTGTTGACCATGGAGCTGAGCAAACTGAAGCTGTGAACAGTCTCAATCTCTTCACCATCCATCCTGATGCTACCAATTGGTCCAGTGGTGAGAATCTATGTCTTCTTGACATTGAGCCTCAGTCCATACTGAAGGCTGCAGTTTCGGCAAGCAGGGTTGTGTCATCTGCATAACGCAGATTGTTGATAGATCTTCCACCAATCCTGACGCCACAATTCTCCTCACAGAGCCCAGCCTCCCAGATAATCTGCTATGCATACAGGTTGAAAAGGTATGAAGACAGGACACATCCCTGGCATACACCCTTCTCAATTTTGAACCATGCAGTGTTTCCTTGCTCTGTTCTGACAACTGCCTCTTGGACGAGGTATAGGTTTCGCATTAGCACAATTAAATGTTCTGGGATTCCCATTCTTCTCAGAGTCAGCCACAGTTTGTTATGATTCACACAATCAAACGCCTTTGCATAATCAATGAAACACAGATAGACATTATTCCGGTATTCCCTGCTTTCAGCTAAGATCCATCTAACATCAGCTACAATATCCCTAGTACCACGACCCCTTTTAAACCCAGCCTGGACTTCTGGCAATTCTCTGCTGATATTAAGGCTCATAAATAAAACTGTAAATTTAAAAGGACTCCTCAGAATTGGTACCTATCTCTCAGTTTAATTTTGCCTTTTTTTAAAGAGCGTACTACTCATCTGACTATATATAATGCTATGATTCCTGTATGTTGCTCTCATATCCAGCCACATTTATTTAGATTAAGGAGTTTTATTTCTAGCTTCATAAACTTCAGAAATGAACAAAATATAGCCTTAATCTACTTTATAACCTTTATTATATCCACCTTTTCCCTAGTATGCTTTATTCACAAACAACTTTTTTACCCTTCTGAGTCCTTCAGTCCTCGTCTTTGATACCATACTGAACATAATGGAACTCAAATGTGTGGTATTAGCATGAAACTCTTCTCTTTCCAATTTACTTAGGAGATAAAGCCACCAAATATTCTCCTAAAAGACAATCTTTATTATCAAGATCTATAATTGCCTTGGTGTTGGTAAACCTGTATATAATAGCCAAGGTGTCTGTCAAACTCAGGTGAATCTAATAGTAGAGCATGGTCATAATTTTAAAAGTTAATCTAAAGAGAACATCACATATTACCAGAACTTTCTACTTGTGATATTATATTTTGTGATAAAAAAATTCATTATAATTCAGTGGGGAAAAAAAGGAATATATGGACATGTATGATGCAGTCATAGAAACCTGGCAAAGGGAATGAGGGAATGTAGAACAGGAAGATAATAGCAAGAAAGTGCTAAGTAGTAAATAAATTACAGGCCAAGTGAGAGTCACTAAACACCTTAATTAGATAATTGAAAATATTACAGACTCATTTCCCTTAAAATAAGATGAAATAAAACTATGGGGGTAGAGACAGGCAATGACTCCCATCCACTTTTACTCATCAAGATTTTCCTGAGAAAGCGTAACATTAAAACTTGAAATGTTTTGCTGGAAGGTTACATTAGAAATAACTCATCTACAACCAGGAGAAGGTAAAATAGATGAATGGGATCTTCTAAGAATCAAATCCCCATGCATATCCCAAAACTTCTCCAACAGGGTAAAAAGAGAAGCGACAGACTGTGAAAAAGTATCTGGAAATGACATGTGAGGATAAGGGACTTATATCTAAAATTTATAAAATGCTTGAGCACCACAACAAGATAAACAATCCAACTGAAAAATGGGCACAGGATATGAACAGACACTTCACCAAAGAAGAGATTCAGATGGCAAACAAACACATGAAGAAATGTTCAAAATCCCTCGCTCTAAGAGAGATGCAAGTCAAAACAACTATGAGGTATCTCACCACAGTAGGAATAGCAAAATTTAACAGAACAACAAGCAACAAATGCTGGCAAGGTTGTGGAGAAACTGGAACCCTTATTCACTGTTGGTGGAAGTGTAAAATGGTGCAACCACTGTGGAAGGCGGTATGGTGCTTTCTCAAAAAGTTGCAAATAGAGATATCATTTGACCCAGCAATTCCATTACTGGGAATATACCCCAAAGAGACCATAACTGCCATTTGTTCACAATAGCAAGGAGGTGGAAACAACCTAAGTGTCCATCAACAAACGAATGGGTATAGATGCTGTGATATATTCACACAATGGAATACTACACTGCATTGAAAAACAATGCAATATTATTCAAAATGGGTGACCCTGGAGAATATTACGCTGAGTGAAATATCTCAGTCACAAAAGGACAAATACTGCATAGCGCCACTGTTGTAAAACAGGACTGAAAGAGATGAGGGAGAGAACTGTTTAAAAGGGATATGTGATTAGGTATTACTGTCATGACAAAAGTCCAGGATGAAGGCTGCATAGTGGAGTGGACTTGGGGGGGAGGACTGTATAACATGAAAGAATTTTTTGTTTTACTTTTCAAAGAGAAGAGCAAATTGGAGGGAGGGAGAGGTGGGGAGGGAGAAAAGTGCAACAATGAATGAACAGAAATCCTCAGTCTCTGTAAGCTTTCATTAAAATGAATAATAATAAAAAAATTTTAACAAACCAACAGATCTTTTAAAAAAACCTCTTACCTTGCTTTCTCTTTCTAACTCACTTCGAAGCCATTCAAAGTCACTGTATCGTCTTCTAACTGTAGATTCCTTCAGCTTAAAAATAGGAAGATTTGTCTGAAAGAATAAAAAAATTACTTCTAAGTTAAAGAGGATTTGCAAATTAAAAGAAATGTTTTTTAAATATTCCTTGTCTACTATATTTTTTAATATCCTTAGCCTAGTTGCATTTAGACAATTAAAAAAACAGTTATTAAGATGACCTTTTACCTCTAAAAAAGAAAACCAGGCTAATTGTTAAAAATTTTAATTTACATTAGAGTATAACTTTTTTTTAAGAGTATAACTTTTAAAATGCATTCACATGTATTTTTAGGTCCTCATTACACCTTAAATTATTTATATAAATATAGCTATTAGCCTCTGACTGCTATCCATTTTAGAGAATACCTACTAGACAAAGTTCATAGTGGAAAGAGATCTTAACTACTTTAAAATTAAATGCAAAATAACTCATTACGAGGATTAGATTAAGGAGCTCTGGTAGCATAGTGTAGAGTGTGTTGCACTGCTAACCAAAAGGGCTGGGGTCTCGGGCAGTTCAAACCCACCAGTGGCTCTGCTGAAGCAAGATGGCCACACTCTTTCTTCTCCTATTAAGATTTACAGACTAGAAACCAGAAGGAAGGCAACTCTGAGTTGGAACTGACGAGGCAGTTAAGTGTGAGGACTAGATTTTCTCTTGCATATTTAAAAAATGGCCAAGTAGAGGGAGCTATGGTGACCTAGTGGCAAGAAACTGTACTGCAATCCCAGAGATATGTGGTTTGAATCCACCAGACGCTCTGCTGGAGAAGGAGGGGCAATCTCCTCCTGGACCAGTCAGATCCTATTTGACGGTACACACACACACACAAAGTAGTAATAAATTTTTTTTTTTAAAAAAAGGCCAAGTAAAATCAGAAAATAGCAGATAGAGAGCAGCAGCATCTATACCCCTACCACTAGGAGAAGTTATAAACATTAGAGCAAGCAAGTTCATAGATCCTGAGCCTTAAAGATAGAAGAAACATTTCTTAAACTATTAGCAGAAGCTGTGTGATAAACTCACTCAGGAACCAACTCATAGCTGACCTTCCATGGAGTTTTAAGAGGCTATAAATCTCAGGAGTCAACTGGCCATCTTCCTCCTGTGGAACAGATGGTTGATTCAAACAGACTGCCTTTGGGGTGGCAATGGAACTCCTTACCCACTAGGCCACCAGAGCTCAAGAACAGATTTAAAAATGCATATAAATGTGTCTTGGAAGTTAAGGCCTAGTGCTCTGCTCCCTTTACAATATCTTGATCTTTAAAATGCTGTGAAGCAGGTTGACTCTAATCCACTGGTCACCATGAGTCAGCATGGATTTGAATGGCAACAAATAACACTACTAATATTTAAAGTTTATAGGGGACAGACATGGTTTAACACATTTCAGGCAGTAACTTGCTGAAAAGGCTATTTAATGCTCTAAATCTTCTTAGGCTGTATAGTGTCCTTTATTTAGTCTTTGAACATGTATAAATGTAGAAGAAAAGTTAACCGCAACTTAAAGGTAAGATTCACTTTTTACTCTGTGTACAACAATAACATCATGCAAAATTCAACTCCTAAGAAAATTCCAGTCTTCTGTCAAAGTTAATGCCACTGGTAAGGAATTGTCATACAGCAAAAGAAAAGCTTTTTATTTGTGACCTGAAACTCATTTGTAGTGGTCTCAATTTTTTCTAAAGTGTATTAACTACCATGTTGTATACCTTACAGCTTGAAATCTTCTACAGATGCTATTGGGCATAACACTGGATAGATTTCAAGCATGAAACTAAATCTCACAAGAGGTTTAAAAGCACTTGAATTTTCTTTCCCAGGTAACCACAACATTTGTTCATTGTATTAATGACTAAGAGCAAAATTGCACCTAACAAGACTCTTATTATACTAAAAGTCAAGCTTATATTTAGAGACGCTGGCTTGCTATAGAGAGGGGTATTCTCATCCCCCACAGGGAATAAAATTAAGTCCCCTGGAGAGCAGGATGATAATTCCCAGAAAGAAAGCACTGGATTATTTCTCTCTAATTTCACCCATTGGCTTTTTAACCAAGTTCACCTCTTCCGCATTAAAATATTAAGTCTTTGTAAGTGTCTAAAGATAGAAAGGCCTTTACAAAATTGAGTGTTTTCTGCAGGTGAGATTTTACATTTTGAATTCCCTCCTCTCAAATTACTTTACAAGAGGGATTAACTGCTCTCTTTATTCAATATGTTAAGATCAAGCTTGTGAAAAGAGTTCCCTAAGAATTTTCATACTTCTGGGCACGGAAGTCTATAAAGTTAATCTCTGAAACAACATATCAAGCTTACAGGTACAATGTTGAGGGAAAAGTGCCAACTCAGCTCATTTTACCTTCCATTTTCCCTTTTGAACTTTTGACACAATCATGATTTTATCTGACTCACTTTAATAGAGCAAGTAGATCCCACCTTTCAGGGGGCATTGAAGGGGGAATTCCTTCTCTGCTTTGATTAGCTAATAGTTGGGTAGTTTATGGAGTAGAGGATAACAGTTTAGTTTAAGAATATTCTTTTATTTTTCTTGGTTGGCTGTAATTTCTTTTTGCATGAAGACATCTTTAGAGTTATGTCAAGAAATTCTCCATACTATTTGCCCATTATAGTTAGAGAACTTAAGTTTGCCTCTTAATTTCTGTTCTATCATCAACCAAAACAAAAATTAAACCCATGCCATTGAGCTGGCCCCAACTCAGTGATCCTATAAATATGGCAGAGCAGAACTGCATAGCCAAGGCTGAAATTTTCTTACAAACAGACTGCTACAACTTTCTCCAGTTGAGCAGCTGGTGAGTTTGAACTGCCAATCTTGGTTAGCAGCCAAGCACTTAACCATTGTATTCCCTGGGCTCCTTTCTCAATCATTTTTAAAACTTAAATTTAACTTAGTCAAAATAAACACACAAAAAGTACTAAAACTTGTTTAAGCTACTGATCTATTAGTAAATTACAAACTCTTACTTAAATTTAACTTTTAAAAAAAATTTATTTACCTTTGTTTTCTGAAGAAGAGAAAGAATTATTTTTCCGTACAGCATTGGAAGTATTAATTCAACTATTATTTACTAAACAACTATAAAATTTGAGCACTAGATAGAATGGAAATACAGTGACAAATCATTTGCACTTCTGGTCCATTATAAAGTTTATAATGTAGTTAGAAGTGTAGAAGATAATTATATAGCAATTTAGATTTACATGGTAAAACCATGATAAACCATCAACAATTTGAAAGACAAAAAATAAACTGTGGAGGAAAGCCAATTCCTTCAAATACAAATAAATGCAATAAAATGCAAAGGTAATTGACAAAACAGGCAGAACACAGAAAATCTAGGGGTCAAAAATGTCCAACTTCATTCACATAAGAAATGTTAATTAAAATAGTAAGGTCCTATTTTTTACTTACCACATGGGCAAGAAATAAATTTTAATATTCAGAGTCGTTCAGAGAAGAGAAAGACAAGCCTCTAAAAACTTGTAGAAAGCAGTGAAAACTGGCACTACCTTAAAGAATATGACATCTACACATTATTTTGACAAGGTGTGGCGCCCTCATGTCCAAACTGGCTGCTAAGTGGAAGGTCAGCACTTTCAATCTACCAGTCACTTCTCAGGATAAAGATAGGCAATCTCTTTCCGTAAGAATTTCCAGTCTCAAAAATCTCAGAAACAGAGGGTTGCTATGAGTTGGAACCAATTTAATGGAAATTGATTATCATTTGGATTTATCATTAATTTGGGGTGTGTGTGGTTATCACTATTTTAAATATATTTTTATG